AATTTAATGATGACAGTGATGGCCATAATCGCAACTAGAGTTTCACTCCTGGTGGTGGTTGATGATGGCCGCAATGAATGAAAAAATGAAAAATAAAGTTTTTGGGTTAGATCGCGTTATTTATAAATGTGTCGTAACCCTCCACCACCCGACACGGCCAATCAGTAAAAAAGTGTCAACGTGACACTTTTTTAACCACATCACCACCACCACAAGTGTCAACGTGGCACTTTTTTTTGCTGATTGGCCGTGTCGGGTGTTGGAGGGTTACGACGCATTTATAAATAAGGCGATCTAATCCAAAAACTTTATTATGAATAATATTGGTCGTGAAAGCCCTACGTGTTAAACTGAATGAACAAACGAATAAGTTCCACTTGATTTGACAATCATCACCATTATCGTCAATGTCAATGCACTGCAAAATCCCGTGGCACCACCAGGGACCAGGCCAGTCACAATCTCGGCATCTCAGTCGGTCTTTACCCTGGGGGTGGTTCAGAACGATTGTCTCACGATAAGGGCAGCACAGAGCAGAGCGGCACATGACAGGGTCGGCGTTCGGCAAGCATGCGCAGTCAGTTGGAAGGATGACAGGGTCGAACTTGCAAAGGGTGTGATGTGCTCACGTAGCCCACTCAACGCTCCACATCTCGACGGGTAGATGCTTGGCAAGAGGTCCCTGGTCCAAGCGCCTCGAGGAGGTTTGAGCCCAAGGCCTCTCTTGTATCCTCGGCGATGATAGCTGAAGAAGGAGGAACATCCAGGAGACGTAAGGCTTTGGGCCTGAATGTCAACTCTTGGTTTTGGCACGAAAACTTAAAATCTAGAATTAATACCCACTCACTCACCCGACCACTCAGCAACCAGCTCACCAACCAACTCACTCACTCACTCACCCACCGACTCATTCACTCAACCACTCACTCACACCCTCCAGGTTCCACCGAGGTGGTGGAGCTCACAAGAGGGTTGAAATCGAGTGGACGACACTGGCGCGTGACACGAAGCCGCACAAGGGCCCTTTTTTATTTTTTCGTCTACGTTTGTGACCGTGGCCAAGATGGTCAGGCGTGGCAGGGGGACGAGACCCGATTTTGCCGTGACGGCGCGGGGGAGGATGGGGCCCAGCCGGGGGGGGGGGAGAAAGACCGCAGATTGGCCGGGAGGGGCCGTGAAATCCGGCAGGCTGCTCGGGAAAAGGGGTGGGGGGGGCACGATTGTGATGCCGTGAGTTAGCGGCCGAGCGAAAGAATGAATGAATGAGGGAGTGAACGTGCGACGGAGGGAGAGAAAGGGGTAATAAAGGGTTGCTATGCGTGCTGTTGTGGGTGAGTGAATGAGTGAGTGAGTGGATGGCTGGGTGAGTCTATGAGTGAGAGTGAGAGGAAGGGAGATGTGGAGAGAAAAAGTTCGCGAATGGGTGAGTGCGTTCGCGAGCAAGTGAGTGAGTGAACGTGTAAGTGGATGAATGGGTGAGCGGGTGGGTGAGTGACTGAGAGAATGAGTGAGTGAGTGGATGGCTGAGTGAGTCTATGAGTGAGAGTGAGGAGAGAGGAAGGGAGATGTGGAGAGAAAAAGTTCGCGAGCAAGTGAGTGAGTGAACGTGTAAGTGGATGAATAAGTGAGAGGATGAATGGGTGATCGGGTGGGTGAGTGACTGAGAGAATGAGTGAGTGAGTGGATGGCTGGGTGAGTCTATGAGTGAGAGAGAGAGAGGAAGGGAGATGTGGAGAGAAAAAGTTCGCGAGTGGGTGAGTGCGTTCGCGAGCAAGTGAGTGCGTGAACGTGTAAGTGGATGAATGGGTGAGCGGGTGGGTGAGTGACTGAGAGAATGAGTGAGTGAGTGGATGGCTGAGTGAGTCTATGAGTGAGAGTGAGAGAGGAAGGGAGATGTGGAGAGAAAAAGTTCGTGAGTGGGTGAGTGCGTTTGCGAGCAAGTGAGTGAGTGAACGTGTAAGTGGATGAATGGGTGAGCGGGTGGGTGAGTGACTGAGAGAATGAGTGAGTGAGTGGATGGCTGGGTGAGTCTATGAGTGAGAGAGAGAGAGAGGAAGGGAGATGTGGAGAGAAAAGTTTGTGAGTGGGTGAGTGCGTTCGCGAGCAAGTGAGTGAGTGAACGTGTAAGTGGATGAATAAGTGAGAGGATGAATGGGTGAGCGGGTGGGTGAGTGACTGAGAGAGTGAGTGAGTGAGTGGATGAGTGATTTACCATGAGAGACGGCAAGGGTGGGATTTATCCAGCAGTGGATAGGGCATGGCTCGCATGATGATGACGACAACGGGGCAAAAGTGAGACGTGAGAAGTCTGGTTCGGATCCTGATGAATTTTACCGACACTGCCCTGGCTCTTTGCCCCATTTTCGGTGATGGAGACATTCACACGTTTTTTTTTTGCCAACAAAAAGAGCTTTCTCCAAACACACGAATTAGACCCATGCTGTTTGGTGCTCCCTTCACACTGAAGCTGCCCTCTCTTATCTCGTCCATCGCGACTGCCACACAGTCGTCGTTGTATAGGGATACCGAGTGAGTTATCGAGCAGTTGGGTGCATGAATGATCGAGTGGGTAAGTGGACGATTGAGTCTGTGGTTAGTTGAGTGATTGGTTGGGTAAGTGGTTGTTGGCTGGGTGGAGGAGTGGGTGTATGAGTGAGCGGTTGGGTGAGTGGATGACTGAGTGGACGAGTGGTTGGGCGGGTGTGTGAGTGAGCAAGTGAGCATATGAGCGAGAGAACACTTGGGTGTGTGGGTATGCGAATTGGCGAGTAAACTAACGAGTGAGCGGCTGGGTGGTTGCGCGAGTGAGTCAACGAGCGACCGAGAAAGCGAGTGAATGGGCGAGTAGTTTGTTGCGAGCGAGAGAACGAGCGAGTCGTCTGCAAGCCGGAGCAAGGCGGTGAACGAGCGACTTAGAGGGCTCGGATCAGTGTGGCGGGCCGGTGACAACAAAGAGAGAGCCGGGGCCAGTCGAGCCAAGCACGCGGCTCAAAGAGAAACGCTGCCTGGGCCAATAAAACCCGAGCGTTAAAGTCGCTTTATGTGGATTTAAAGTCATTATACATTCACCGCCCGCTGCGCGTTGCGTGCGTCGTGTGTGTGCATCCCGCGCGCCTTTTGTCTTTGTTGTCAAATCCAATTACGCGAGATTACTCGCGACGCGCCTGCGGGGGGCCGGAGTGCCCCCCCCCCCCCGCCCTGCCCCCCGCACGCGAATGTCCATCCAATCCCCGTTTCATTCGTCGGCCCGGCTCTGTAAAAATGTATACGATTGTATTTATACGTAGGCTGATCCGTTTATAGATGCGGGGGGCGGGGAGGTGGTGGCGGCCACGGCCGCTGCCACTGCCACGGCGGCGGCACGGTTAGCAGCCCGCTGGACGCTGCGATCCAGAGGTCGCCGGTCCGATCCGATTCCAGCTCCCGGTGCGGAAGGGCGAAACGGCGGCGCAAGTTTCTTAGTCGACGATTGGCAGGGTCACGCGCCCAACTCTTCCGACGCCATCTGGCTATGTGTGTAAAAGTAGATGCCACGGTGGCTAGGAGATGTTAACTACCTCGCCTGGTCTACAGGAGGTCGTGGGTTCGATCCCCACCCAAACGCCTGCTGCTGTATATTTGGAGTTTGCGTGTCTCTCTCTCTCTCATCATCATCACGGTGGCTAGGAGATGTTAACTACCTCGCCTGGTCTACAGGAGGTCGTGGGTTCGATCCCCACCCAAACGCCTGCTGCTGTATATTTGGAGTTTGCGTGTCTCTCTCTCTCATCATCATCACGGTGGCTAGGAGATGTTGACTACCTCGCCTTGTATACAGGAGGTCGTGGGTACGATCACGACCCTGACGCCTGCTGCTGTATATTTTGAGTTTGCGTGTCTCTCTCACTCTCATCATCGCGGTGGCTAGGAGATGTTAACTACCTCGCCTGGTGTACAGGAGTTCGTGGGTACGATCATGACCCTGACGCTTGCTGCTGTGTATTTAGAGTTTTCGGTGTCTCTCTCTCCCCGTGGTCGCGTGGACTTTTCCTCCGGGTCCTCCGGTTTTTCCCTCCACGTGTAGAAACGCGTTCAGATTATTATTTGGCTGCTGCTATGAATTCCCACGCGATAAGCCACTTTCGTTGAGCCGCCAGGTCGCTTCTGAAAGAGAGCTACATAGCTCAGTGGGCCTTACACCTTTTGGTTAAATAAAAAGAGTTGAGTTTAGTCGGCCAGCATTCCTTCTTTGGGGTGGTGGGGGGGGGGGGTTCCTCAAGAGATTCCTCGTGCGGGGAGGGCCTTCTGCCAGCAGTTGTCCAGAGGGATGAACCACCTCGACCGAGATGAGCGGAAAATAAAACGGAGGAGGAGCACTGGTCAGGAAGGTGAGGAGGAGGAGGCGGAGAAGGAATGACCAGGCCAAGGTGTCGGAGATGATGAGAGGGTGATGACGACGATGGCTCGCGCGAGCGTGCGTTGCTGCCCGCGTTTGCCGTTGTTTCCCCGCGAGCGTGAGGGCTTCTGAGTGAGAGGTTAAATTGGGGGACCCCCCCTGCCGATAGATGCCCGTCCGCCTGTCTGCCCCGCTCGCCCATCCGACGCGTCTCTAGCGCGGAGGCTCCCTCCGTGTCTTGTCGGTCACGCTTTCATTCTGTCCGCTCTCCGCCTTCGTGCGCGCGAGTCGCGTAACGGTGCGGGGAGCGGCGGCGCATCGGTTGGTGTCGCGCTGCGCCGCACGAACCCGGCGGCCCGAGTTCGATTTCCGCTCACGGACATCAACGCCGGTGACGATTGTCTGAACCGGTCCTGAACCTCCCCTAGGTCGACTCGGCCCCAAATGAGTACCTGGCGCGGTGTGTAAACATCGCCACTAGGGGAGACAAACGCGGCCGGGCGTGGTGCTGGCCACCTTCACCCCCTCGTGTGCCACAGTGCCGGCCTTCATCTGTGCTGCTCGCTGACAGCACTTGCCCCAGCAGTCTGTTAAGGCTACACGGGTGATCTTTGTCTCTCCGCAGGGGTCCCGGTCCGTGTGTGTAACGAGACAGACGGGGTGGCTCACGACTCCGCTCTTGCCATCTTCACTTATCTCAACGAGATCGGGTGAGATTTCACACAAACACACACACAGACACACAAAAACACAAACACAAACATGGATAGACATACTCTACGGATAAACATGCGCAGAGCCACGAGATGTGGGTGTTTAGACACCGATTGTCCGTCTGACTGCACCTACATCTATCGGCCTATCCATCATTTCTGTCTGTCTTCCTGTTCATGCGTCCATTCGTCTGTCTCTCCATCGCGTTGATTAACTTAATGACTGTCCTGTCCATCCATCGATCTGTGTGTCGTATCTGTCTGTCTGTCTGACCACGTGTCTCTTCTGTCAGTCTCTCCAGCTCTGTGATTGTCGATCAGTTCATGGTATCCATCTATCCACCTGTCAATCTCATCTGTCTGTCTCTGCGTGTATCTTTATTTGTCTGTCCGGTCATTCTGTCCTTCTGTCTGTGCCTGTCTCTCTGTTCCTCTGCGTCCCTCTGTCTCTCTGCCTGCCTCCCCCTTATCTCCCACCCCAGCCTTTCCCACCCTCTCTCCACCTTTGTCTCTCTCCGTCGCGTTTCTTTTTATTTTAAATTGACGACGTCCTCCCCGTCCCGGTTCCGAGCGCACAGACACACACAAAGACACAGACAGACACACACACGCGCCCGCACACACACGTGCGTCCACACACACACGCGCCCACACACGCGCCCACACACACACGCGCGCCCACACACACACGTGCACACACACACACACGTGCACACACGTGCGCACGCATACGCGCGCACGCACACACGCACACACGCACGCGCGTGCTGGTTAATGCCCTTTGTGCGTGCGCGTCCCGCATCGGCCCATCGGCCCCTCTCTGTCTCTCCCGCTTCTTTTGGTTTCCTCCATTGTCCATCCGCGATTAATGGACGAGCTGGGGGGGGGGGGGGGTGGTGGGCAAGGGGTGGAGGCACAGAGCCATCTGAGACGAGACGAGACGGCGGAGGAGGAGGACGCGAGAGAAGTCGGGCAAGCAAAAGCAGCGATCGAGAATGTGTGGAGTGGAACAAAGCGGTTAAAGTTTGCTCTCAAGACGACCGTCTTGGGAGTCGATGCGGCGACGAACGCATCTCCGCTTTGCAGCGCCGAGCCAGTGGTGGGAATTCCGTATTACTATGGCGGGGGCAAGTCCGTCCACACGACAATCATTGTTGACCTCGCTACGAACACTGCCCCGTGCGTCTATAAACAATTTATTTTATGTTACCAGGTAATGCCACACTGAGCTATAGAGCAACTTTTCAGTAGCCACCTGGCTATCACAAATGATAGCCAAACGAAGCGGCTTATCACGTGGAAATTTAGAGCAGCCAAATACTCTTCAACGCGTGACGTTGAATCTAAATGTGGAGGGGAAAACTTTAGGGCCCGGAGAAAAATCCACGCGGCCACGGGGAGAAAGAGACACGCAAACTCCAAATATACAGCAGCAAGCGTCAGGGTCGGGATCGAACCCACGACCTCCTGTATACCAGGCGAGGTAGTTAACATCTCCTATCCACCGTGATGATAATGAGAGAGAGAGACACGCAAACTCCAAATATACAGCATCAGGCGTCAGGGTCGGGATCGAACCCACGACCTCCTGTACACCAGGCGAGGTAGTTAACATCTCCTAGCCACCGTGATGATGATGAGAGAGAGAGACACGCAAACTCCAAATATACAGCATCAGGCGTCAGGGTCGGGATCGAACCCACGACCTCCTGTACACCAGGCGAGGTAGTTAACATCTCCTAGCCACCGTGATGATGATGAGCGACGGTGGGTGCTGGCGGGGGTTGGGGGGGGGCGGTGGGGGGTGGACGGGGGGGGGTGGGGGGGGGGCTTTTCAGAATGAGAATCTTTATCTCGACTCAAGGAATCCGGTGAGCTGTGAGGCTCTTTCTTTTCACGGACATCCCAGCAGGACAGCAGCTGTTTCGGCAACCAATCGGCGAGCTGTGTAGACCGTCGCAGGCCGATCGGTTTGACGGGGCTTGAGCGGAGAAGGGGGGGCGGGGGGTGCCATGGGGAGGGGGACATGGAGACATGGGGGGTGGGGGGGGTTGGGAGACGTAGAGGGGCGGGCCACATTTCCTCCACCTCATTAGCCACGAGGACCCGTGAGTTAATATCATTAATTAGCGCTCTCTCCAAGGGTCATTGTGTGGCTTTTGTTTCGGGAGGGAGGGAGGGTGGGAGGGAGTGGAGGGAGGAGGGGAGGGAGGGAGGTGTGGAATGGGAATGCAATCTGGACGCACTCTCTCCACCCGTCTCTCTGCATCTCAATTCCAATGTTCCTCTCTTCATCGTCATCATCTTCTTCTTTGGGGTTGGTCAGTTGTTTCCGATTTCCTTTCCGTTTGTGCTGCTATTCTTGAGTCGCGTCCGCTATCCATATATGGAGATCGGTTGACTCGCATAGAGGCCCACAGACTCACATAGACCAAATGTGATCCATAGGCTCGCATAGAGGCCCACAGACTCGCATCCTCACCATGTGATGCATCGACTTGCATAGAGACCCACAGACTCACATAGACCAATGTGATGCATAGGCTTGCATAGAGACCCACAGACTCTCATCCACACAATGTGATGCATCGACTCGCATAGAGGCCCATAGACTCGCATAGACCAATGTGATCCATAGGCTCGCATAGAGACCCACAGACTCACATAGACCAATGTGATGCATAGGCTCGCATAGAGGCCCACAGACTCGCATCCACACCATGTGATGCATCGACTTGCATAGAGACCCACAGACTCACATCCACACCATGTGATGCATAGGCTCGCATAGAGGCCCATAGACTCACATAGACAAATGTGATCCATAGGCTCGCATAGAGGCCCACAGACTCGCATCCACACAATGTGATGCATAGGCTCGCATAGAGACCCACAGACTCGCATCCACACCATGTGATCCATAGGCTCGAATAGAGACCCACAGACTCGCATCCACACCATGTGATGCATCGACTTGCATAGAGGCCTAAACGAATTGCCAAAAGTCCTCGCGTCACGTTTCGCCACATCCTTCCACCCCATACTTCACCAAGCTGGTCAGTGTGTGACGGTGGAGGCTGGGAACGTAGGCGTGTGACCATAGAGGTACTGTACAACAATGGATGCTGCCGCACTGCCCCCACAGCCTGTAACACCTGTTACGCGTGGCGGTCACCCATCCCGGCACTCAATCGGGCTCGGCGCCTCGTGACTGCTACGTTCGTGCCACGAGTCGCCCGAGTCGATCTCCGTCTTCGAGAGCGAGCGAGTGGACGGGCGGGCGGGCGGTGTGCGTCGGCGCGTGTGTAATCTGTCATCCGACGAGAGAGCGGGCGCGTCCGTGGGAGATCTGGCCAAAGCCTTGGCGACCTGCGTGTGCGCTGGTGGATGTGGGGCAGCGGTGTACGGGCGACGTGGCAGGGCACCAACACGCGTACGCACGGGCGCTCGCACGGAGCGTCTGTATCCGCAAACCAAGCACGGGATTTTGAAGGGGAAAAAAATAAGGGGGGGGGGGGGGGGGGGGGGTACTCGTGCGTTTAGAGCGAGCGTGGAAACGTTGGTCGATGTCGCGCCAACGCCGGTTCAACGACGGGTCCCAAAGCCCAACATCGGCCCAACGTCGGATCAGTTGGACCAATTTGTTTGTTTCCTGAGTTTTCTATTGTTTCTCCGTCGTTGCGACTATTGTGGTGGTGACGGGGTCGTGGTGACGGGGTCGCGGTGACGGGGTCGTGGTGACGGGGTCGTGGTGACGGGGTCGTGGTGACGGGGTCGTGGTGGCGGGGTCGTGGTGGCGGGGTCGTGGTGACGGGGTCGTGGTGGCGGGGTCGTGGTGGCGGGGTCGTGGTGACGGGCTCGTGGTGGCGGGGTCGTGGTGGCAGGGTCGTGATGCCCGCTGGCCCCTGAGCACTGTCGCCGTGTTCCCTCTGCAGGGGGAAGCACGGAGTGGGGCGCATCGACATCGTGGAAAACCGATTCATCGGCATGAAATCCCGAGGTGAGGACTTTCTTCGATCACGTGTTTATCAGCGTCGTCGTCGTCGTCGTCGTCATCGTCGTCAGTCATTCATCAAACAGGGCGGTGGTGGCTACACTGCCGCATGTAACCCAGCGCCGTGGAGGCAGCAGCAGCAGCGAGGATTGGTGGATCACCGCATGCACGGATGTTGTTGGAAAACTCCCTCTCTCCGTGGGCGTCGAAGAGGAGCCGTACTCTGGCGAGCCAGTGGAAGTCGGGACTCTTCGCTATTTGCTTCCATCTGTTTGGGGATAGAGCGTTACCCCCTCGCACGTGTGAGTTTTCTCTAGGTGCTCCGGTTTCCTCCCCGATTATATAATAAGCACTCATTCATTGGCTAAAAACATCTTAAAATAATAAAAAGTGCTGAAATAGAATGCTACAACTCTGTGTGGCTCTCCTGGATACAAAATTAATTATATAATTTTTAGGGTTAAGGGGCCGTCCATAAATGACGTCACGCGATTTTGGACGATTTTTGACCCCCCCCCCCCCGCTTCGTCACACGGCGTCACAAAAAGTCAGACCCCCCCCCTCAAATATGAAGTCACAAAGCTCTGCCCGCCCCCCCCAAAAAAAACCATAAAACATGCTTCAAATCGCTTTAAACTATTGTCAGTGTAGTGGCGCTGCACTCTGATGTTGTAGGAGAAAACATTTATTACAAAGTCTATTTAACTAAGTAAAACGTGTTCTTGGTTCTTTTGGTAAAGGGAAAGAATAAAAATACAAAATAAAAATTCTCACGACGTTTCGATTGCAACACAAGCAATCATCATCAGGTGTGAAAACCACAGCAAGAATTTTATTTTGCTGTCTTTTTTTTTGCTGTGGTTTTCACACCTGATGATGATTGCTTGTGTTGCAATCGAAACGTCGTGAGAATTGTATTGTTTAATTTTTATTATTTTATTATTTCCCTTCTACGTGACTTTACCGAAAGAACCAAGAAGATAAATCCCTGCAGTCACGAAAGCTTCAAATCGAAACACCTTGATATGTAGAGGAACCCAGAGCTCGTGCGATTGTTGGCAGCTGTGTTTTCCACTCATCTGTGGTTCTCTGCGCCTCTGATTCGTCCCGTCTCTTCAAGGGCAAGCGGATACCGTGTTGCAGCTGAGAATTACGAGTTTAAATTATAATTACACGTGCGTCTTTGCGCACTTATCAGTTTTCCGTTTTTTTTTTACTTTAAAAGACTTAGGGTAAAAAAAAAACTTCAAATATCCCAGCAAACTCTTGCGGCCGCTATTTTTTGTACGAAAACGACACAAAAAAAATGCAAGAAAAAATGAAGCTGTCTTAAATCCTACAAAGCACTTAATTTAAAAATACGAGTTGGCACCGGTAAAATATATATATACGCACAGGAATATATTAAAATAAAAAAAAGCAACGAGAAAAGACTGACGTGGTTTTGGGGAGTTTGGCGTCCCGACAGGACAGCCACCTATTAGCAAAGGAGTGGCGGTTCCCATGCAGAGAGACGTCCATCTCTCCCTCTCGCTCCCTCTCGCTCCCTCTCTCTCTGTCGCGTTCTCTCTCCCCGCTCCGGCGAAGGTCGCACGACTGTCCTTCAAGCCCGCCGAGCCGCCCTGATCACTGTTATTTCACCGCGCTAACGGAAGGAAATCGTAATAAATGGGCCCGCGTCTCGCGTGACGCGCGTCCCCGCGTACCACCGCGTACCATCGCGTACCACCACGTACCATCGTGTACCACCGTGTACCATCGTGTACCACCGTGTACCATCGTGTACCACCACGTACCATCGCGTACCACCACGTACCATCGCGTACCACCACGTACCATCGCGTACCACCGTGTACCATCGTGTACCACCACGTACCATCGTGTACCACCACGTACCATCGCGTACCACCACGTACCATCGCGTACCACCACGTACCATCACGTACCACCACGTACCACCGTGTACCACCACGTACCATCGTGTACCACCACGTACCATCGTGTACCACCACGTACCATCGCGTACCACCACGTACCATCGTGTACCACCGTGTACCATCGTGTACCACCGCGTACCATCGCGTACCACCACGTACCATCGCGTACCACCACGTACCACCGTGTACCACCGTGTACCATCGTGTACCACCGCGTACCATCGCGTACCACCGCGTACCATCGCGTACCACCACGTACCATCGCGTACCACCACGTACCACTGCGTACCGCCGTGTACCACCGCATACCGTGGCTAGGAGATGTTGACTACCTCGCCTGGTAAACAGGAGGTCGTGGGTACAATCACGACCCTGACGCCTGTTGCTGTATATTTGGAGTTTGTGTGTCGCTCTCCCTGTGGTCGCGTGGACTTTTGTTCCGTGTCCTCCGTTTATTCCCCTCCATATTTAGAATCACGCGGTCAGAGTATTTGGCTGCTATGAATGTCCACGTGATAAGCCACTTTCGTTGAGCTATCATTTGTGGCTAGGTCGCATCGGAAAAAAGAGCTATGTAGCTCAGTGGGCCTTACCTAGTAAAATAAGAATTGTTTAAAAAGTAACATTTTAGCCGCCCGTGATTAAAACCAGACCCTGAAGTGCAGCGTGTTGGCTGTCTTGGCCCCGCTCACCGATGAACGACCGCGGCGTGCACATAGCGTCGAAACTCAATTCTGGTTCCGCGCCTGATTTAACCAAATTCCCCACGCCTCCGATTGGCGCGATCGGCTACGTGTCGCGCGAAAGAAGTTCAACGCACGCACGCACGTGCAAATTCCAGCTCCTTTCAGATCTTTCAAACAACATCGCTTCCAGTGCCGTGCGATGGGCGTCAGCTCTCGTATGCAGAGGCGGTGGGCAAGTGCTGCCCCGCTTCTTGCGTGTGGTCCAGGGTGTCGCCTGGAGGTGCGCTGTGCATCCCGGACGTTGCTCCGTGACACGCACGTGACGAGGCGCTTGCTGCGCGAAGATTCTGTCGTCACGCTTGGACACCCCTGGGAGCGCGTGACGTTGCGCCCGAAATGTATTTCATTGACGTAAATATCGCTTCCGCGGGGCCGTCCTCATATCCGCGGGATGCCCTGCACTGACCTGCGACGGTTCCGGATAGATTCTTCGTTTCGCGCCGAGGGGAGCACAAAGGTCAAGATCCCCCCAGTGTAGCCTTAACCAGCTGTTGGGGCAAGTGCTGTTCGCGAGTAGCACCTATGAAGGCCGGCACGGCGCACGAGGGTGTGGGGTGGCCAGCACACACCAGATGAGGTACTCATTTGAGGCTGATTTGACCTAGGGGAGGCCCAGGACTGGTTCAGATTATAATCAACACTTGTGTGGACTTTGAGCGGGAATCGAACTCAGTTCGCCAGGTTCACAGTGCAGTGCGTGAACCACTGCACTACCGCTCACCAGCCACACACACACGCAACACACACTCACCACACGCACACCAAAAACACACACAACACACACACACCACACACACACCACACACAGGCACAAGCCACACACACCACACACACCACAAACACCACACACACACACCACACACACACACACACCACACACACACCACACACACACACACCACACACACACACACACAGCACACACACACCACACACACAGCACACACACGCCACACACGCCACACACCACACACATACACACACATACAGCACACAAACCACACACACACAGCACACACAGCACACAAACCACACGCAACACACTGAGCCACGCGAGTCTCGTTGCGTTAGGAGCGGAGAGTAATTGGAACCTTCCTTGCAGCATCCCTCCACTGCCCCCTCCGCCCCCACCCCTACCACCCCCCCCCTACTCCACCACCACCCCCCCCTGCTCCACCACCACCACCACCATCTCCCCATCTCCCCCACCTGCCAAAAACCACCTGCTGCGATGAGCATTTCAGCCGCGGGTTTTCACGAACGTCGCTTGTGGAAATGCCATTTCTCTTTCAAGCCGGCTGTCAGATCAGCGATTTTTTTTCGTGTTACCCCCCCCACCACCACCACCACCACCATCCGCCCCGACCCCCCCTCGTCCCTCCCCCCCCATTTCGTTCCCCATTGTCAGTGGATCGCCACCGTGCCCCGTGTCGCAAGGGGCACGCAGAGCGGCGCTCGCGGTGCGACCGCGTGTTTGCTGATGATTCTCAGAGGGGTCGAAACTGGTGCGTGGATATCAAGTGGCGTGAGCGGACAGCATCCAGATCCGACTGCGTACACACGCGTGCACACGCGCATACGTGCACACGCGCACACGTGCACACATGCGCACGTGCACACGCACACACGTGCACACGTGCACACACGTGCACACGTGCACACGTGCACACGTGCACACACGAACATGTGCACACACGCACACGTGCACACACGCACACGTGCACATACGCGCACGTGCACACACGCACACGTGCACACACGTGCACACGTGCACACGCATACACGTGCACATGCGTACATGCACACACGTGCACACACGCACACAATGTTCTGCATGCCCAGTTGGATCTGGAACGCCAATAGGTCCAATGGACTCAATAATGTAGGGTGGCGCAGGAGGTCACGGCACATAGGGTTATTATTGTATTGATTTTAACAAATCACAGAGGGTTATTTTTAAGTTTAACAAATGTTAAAACCGACTCCCATTTAACATGCATGCATGAAGCGTGAATTCTCCTTTGATATAAATGCGGGTCTTTTTATATTGTTAGGATTACAGGTGCAATCTTTGAACATTAATCAACGATGTTTTGTCTCAATTAAGTAAATATTCTTTCCCATTTTTTTAATGCCAGCCCCGAAAAATGGAGAAGAGAAAAAAATAGATGTTAACAATGATCACAGATAAAAAATAAAATAAGTTTAATGCCAGTGTTAATATTAATATAGTAACCCTATGTGTTTTGATTGGAAGCTTTCGTGACTGCAGGGATTCATATTCTTGGTTCTTTCGGTAAAGTCACGTAGAAGGGAAACAATA